TCGCCAGAGCGCAGTGAGCAACGCACGAGAACGCGAGAAAACCCCAGCGTCCACACATGAGCGCGACACACGCTCCAAAACTCCTTCGACGACGAGTTGGTCACGCGAAGACGAAATTAAACCGATTATTATGCGTCCAGCCGATTACGACGCAAAATTCAATCGCATAATGCAAGCCGAGACAAAGCACGACTATCATCGCCGCGCTGATGGTGGTGGTGGTGGTGGAGGCGGCAGCGGCAGCGGCCTTAGGGAACGCGACCGCGAGCGCGAACACGCAAAGCTGCGCGACACCGACAAATACAACGAAATCAATCGCTTACTAAATAAGAAGCTTTCACTGGAACGTGAATCACCGGAGAAACGCTTTGCTAAACACACGCTGGATGAGCCTGATCGCTTTGAAGACTCAGACCCACCTAGTGAACACATAGCGGTGCACCCGACCTCTAGCTATCGCAAAGAGAATCTTACGGATAAGCAGAAATTCATTGAATACACAGCAAAGAAACAGTCAAAATCGTATGCGGCCGAGGAGGCGCAACGCTATGGTGGGCGCCATCGCTATGTTGATCCAGCCGATCTGCCGTTTGAACAGTCCACAGGCCATAACAAGTACGCTGCCGTACATCGTAGCACACATTCACCGGAACGCACCAGTCATGACCACACCCCACGCATGGGTGAGCGAGAGCGGGAACCAGAGCGCCTGCGCGAAAGGGAACGCGTTCGTGAGCGGGAGCAAGAGCGCGACCACGCGCACGATCGTAAGCAATACTCACGCAGCAATGAGCGTAATCCATATCGCGAACCTGAAAGTCTACCCTACATACAGAGCATGGAGAAGATGATGAAGTCATCGGCAATGCGTTACAAGGCGTTCGATGGTGCACTGGAGCCTACCGCGGTTGCGCCACCTAAAGAAGAGCTTCACCCTAAGCTCAGCGCACAGCGTAGCAAATCGTATACAAAGCGCGGCGAGGATGATGGCCATCCAACAGAGTATGCGCACTCCACTAGCAGATCTGATGTCACATCCAAGGATCGCTTCAAAGATGCCAAGGACAAATTTCGCGCTATGGAACGCAGCGGCAGTCGGTATAACCTAAACGATGAGAAGGACGTCACCGACTATCGATCACGACACCGCGGCTCGGTCGAACCTTCAGACAGCGGACGCCCATATGCCGATTGGAGTGATGAAGAACTCCTCGACAATTCGCCACCACCAGTCGCTAGCCGTTCGCGCTCTCGCTCACGCGGTCAATTGTGGGAAGAAAATGGTATGCCGGCGCGTGAAATGTTACCGCCACGTGAACATCATGTGCGCGAACGTGGCCGCGAACGGCAGTATCAAGAATACGCGCCAGATGTGCGTCCAATGCGTGAAATGGCGGCTAAACGCACCGATCCACATCGAGCGATGCGTGAGCGCTCTACCGACTTGACAGATGCACGCGATCCCTACCGGGAGGCTTATCGGTATGAAAAGCGCGTCATGCGTGATCACTCACGCGATACGCCGCCAACACGCGACGAACGCGAACGCCATCGAGAGCCGGTGCGTCACGAATATTCACCAGATGTGCGCACAGGACCGCCTGAGCATCGAGCCAATCGCCGACAAGCTGATAAGCACGCGGACTACTACCCTACGCCCACGCCGCCGCCACCCACCACCGGTGCTCCAATACCCAATCCGAAGGGTATCTCCAATTTGACCAAAGGCTATCGTCACAGCTATGCGGAGCCGGTATTTGCGCGTGCCGGTGGACGCGTTGGTCTGGCGGCCGTTAACCCGTACTAAGTAAAGAGCGGATATGGGAATTGATTTGAAAGCAGGAGCAGTGTTTTTGCTGTAATATTACTAATAAAAACTAATATTAAGCTAAGATTTGATCAATGCAGAGAAAAAAATTTAGTTTAAATGCAAAGAGGTGAATACATGCGTGTGTTCTGAAAATCTAATATTCTATTTACATTTACATGTATCTACTCACGGTATGATTTTTTTTTTTAACAAATATGTATGGATATGTAAAATTAATGGAAATTTATTAACTATTTTTAACCAAGTCATGTACACATTTTATTGGAAGCCGACACATTCCAGTCGTTAAACGAAAAACATAAAATGCTCAATATTTTTGTATGTAAATAGTACATACATATGTACCACAGAATATTTAAGCTTTCGAAATGCCTTTTTCTCACTACTGGGATATGTATGCCTTAGTAACTTGAGTCAAAAAATTGTCTACCAAGAATGTGCCTTTTTATACGATCGAACTAGTTAAATTAAATAATGGGAAAAAAACTCAATGAAATTTGAAGAAAAAATCATAAACACAAATTATGTCAAGCATGCACGCGTTCGACTATATATTAGGGGTATTCTCGAAGTATTGCACGATGCACGTATTGCACGAAATGCAAAAATACTATCCCAAATTTCGAAGAGTACGAGAGCACCCCATTGCAAAGTGGTAGAATGCATGCGTAGCAAGCAGCGAAATTATGTATCAAATACAATAACAAGAGACAGCAGAAAAAAATGAAGTGAGCGAGATGAGAGGAATGAGAGAAATATGTAGCAATTCCAACAACAAAACAACTAGCACAGGGTCGCATATATCTTGCTATGCTATTTTGCAAAATATATACATGGGTTTCGACGTTGCATATTTTGCAGCGATAGGAAATGTCGTTTCCCATGTATTTTGTTGTTGTGTGTTTGCAAGTTATGCAATCCATGCAATCCGTGCTACGTGCAATGGCTTTGCAAGATTTGGAGAATACCCCTATTATGTATGTTTGTTTGTCTATAAATATTTACTTATTATGTACATATGTATGTATCGATGTAGTACGTTTCCACTTAGCGTTTAAAATTTTAATCATACATATACTTATGTACTTAACTGAAATTTTTACTCTTCTACAATTTCCATCAGTTGATTGATTGTTACTTATTTGGAAGGAGAAATGTTATATTACAACGCTGATAGAACATGCGACTTTTTTTATGTTGAAATGTAAACTTGAAAATTTCAATAAAGCAATCTAGTTGATATATATATATCTAATGGATTGTTTTCGTGCTTTTATTTTACTTACGGAGGAAGGTGGTACCTGGCGAACCAAGCGCCTAAAGGTATGTACGCAAAAACGTATTGTTTGCGACTTGACTAAATTTTAAAATCCCCGATTTCTACCAGGCGCGCATAATCGCATAGCAATGCCGACCAGAAAAATTCTGCCAACGCTGCAAAATCCCGATTTCTACCAGGCGCGCATAATCGCATAGCAAGGTGCCGCCCAGAAAAATGTCTGCCGACGTAGCAAAATCCCGATTTTCACCAGGCGCTCATAATCGCACAGCAAGGTGCCGCCAGCCCAGCAAAGACAGTGGCGATAAAATCCCCGAATTCACCAGGCGCGCATGATTGTGCAGTAAGCTGACGCCCGCAAAAATTTACATGTATAGTTGTTGGTAGTATTTTATCCGGAACAGTGTTGCCAGACGTTATATATTAAAAAAATAATAAAGTACCCAAAAAATATGCTTTGTTACCAAATGTGTTTTTTATTTTCATAATATTTTCTTAACGCATTAGCGGATCAATCAAAAACGTTGCTGAATTTCAAAACAGCAAAAGTGCCACATTTGAAAAATATTTTCTGAATTATTGGTAGCACTTTATCTGGGCATAGCGATGCCATACGTCTTCTTTTATGATATTTAAAATTTTAGAACAAGTTAAAAATAAATTAAAATAGATCAACAAATTACAGGCAACGTCGAAGATGCTGACACAAAAATAATACATTTAAATCGGAACCAATCGCTCCAACTGAGTACCTGCTTCCATGGCGCTTTCAAAGGCAATTAATGTGGTCAGAAGGATCCCATGCAATTTGATCTTCCCTCATTTCTTTGATTGATAAAGCACTTTCCTTTTCTAATTTTTTAGGGCTATCACCGAATCCATCGTAGTTCAATTTTTCGTGAAATCTACGAAAATTCTATCACTGAATCCCAATTGCTATGAACGCGGCATATACTTTGAATGCGTAAGTTCGTAGCAATTCCGACTCAGTAATATCATTTTCGTAGATTTCACAAAAATCTGACAACAATGGATTTACCGATATCCCAGTATACTCATGATTCGTAAACAATTATTAGGTGTTGTTGTTATTGTAGCTCTTTATCCGATTGTTCCCAGATGATTTGTTGTTCTGTTAAGATATATAATGTTAGACATATCGAATGAAAAGCTTTTATTATAAATATACGTTCATTTTTATCTAAATACAGTAATGTAAAAGAGAATATTAGGTACTGTTGATTTCTGAGGAAAGCAAGATTTTATTTTTTTAGGTTATGTTCTTTCTTGAGTTGTCTACATGGGCTCGATGACCAAAAACAGTATAGGTCAACACATACACCATCTGTCTTATGATGGATATGAAATTACCTGAGCTCTTCTAGCACCAGTTGCGTTCCAGATGCTTCACGATATTCACGAAATTCACGATTTGCAGGAACAGCTGTTTTCTCCCATTAATAAACCTTATGGGAGGTGGTCACCTGGAACGACTTCCTGTAAAAACCTGCAAATCGTGAAGCATCTGGAACGCAACTAGTGTGAGTTCGTACTTGATGCTAGTCCTTCGTTATTTTCGAAAATGAAGATGCACAGGCGCGGTATTACTAAATCATGACTTTTTCATTTATATCATGCGCCCATAACGAAAGTGGAATGTTGCCAGATTGTTGAAGGAAGGTTAGTTTGGCATAAAATCATTAGTTAAAATTTTTCTTTAGCCTAAATTTAGTATATCAGGTAAAAAATCGATTCGGATTTGTTTTTTAATACTACTATATCTCTTACAACATTACAAAAATTTAACAGAAAATAAAATACCTCGTCACCGATATGAGGGAATTTTCAGAAAAATTCAACACTGATTTTTGACAATGCAGCGCTGCGGCCAGCTGACAGCAATTCTTTTTCTCTGCAGCTTGTAAATTTACCGCGGTGCAATTCTTAAAATGTCAACAAATAGTAAATACTAGTAAAAAATAAGTATTTTAACAAATTATTTTCACTTAAATGAATTCAAAAATTCCTTTAGGTATCAGGCCTCCGGCGAAAAGGCCTAAATTAGAGTTCAAATCAACATCAAACGGTAAAGTGAAGGAGGAGCTCGATGAATATGGTGAGACATTTTTTATTACAATTATTTGGATTGTCCCATCATTGGTAATACTTAATTTTTCAGAACTAGAGCCGTCCGCCTTTAATCCAAAGTACCGCGTTTGTCCATATTTGGACACAATCAATCGCCATTTACTGGATTTTGATTTCGAAAAACTCTGCTCCATTTCACTAACTCGCATAAATGTTTACGCGTGTCTAGTTTGTGGCAAATATTTTCAAGGCCGGGGCACCAATACTCATGCTTACACGCATTCCGTATCCGAGGCCCACCATGTTTTCCTCAATCTACAAACGTTGCGTTTCTACTGCCTGCCTGATAATTACGAAATTATCGACTCGTCGCTAGACGATATAAAGTATGTGCTGAATCCCACATTTGAGCCCAAAGATATACGACAATTGGATCGTTCGGAGCCTAAATATTCACGCACAGTAGATGGTACACTTTATCTGCCCGGTGTTGTGGGTCTCAACAACATAAAAGCTAACGACTACTGTAATGTGGTCCTGCACGCACTGTCACATGTCGGTCCATTGCGGAATTACTTCCTGCGTGAGCAAAGTTATGCGAAAATCAAGAGACCGCCAGGTGATTCTATCTTCAATCTTGTACAGCGTTTCGGTGAACTAATGAGGAAAATGTGGAATCCACGGAATTTCAAGGCGCACGTATCTCCGCACGAAATGTTACAGGCCGTGGTACTATGGTCTAAAAAGCGCTTTCAAATAACCGAACAAGGAGATCCCATCGATTTTCTATCTTGGTTCTTACACACACTCCATCGCGCAATGAAGGGCAATAAAATGCCAGATTCGTCCATTATTTATAAAATCTTTTTAGGGGAAATGAAAATTTATACACGCAAAATTCCGCCGGTGGAACTCGACGATACACAAAAATCGCTACTGCTTGCCACAGAGGAGTATCAGGAAAAATGCGAGGAGTCGAACTTTTTATATCTCACTTGCGACCTTCCACCACCGCCTTTGTTCACCGACGAATTTCGCGAGAATATTATTCCGCAAGTAAATCTTTATCAGCTGCTAGCGAAATTCAATGGCACCACCGAGAAGGAATACAATACGTACAAAGATAATTTTCTGAAGCGTTTCGAAATCACGCGGCTGCCACAGTATATTATACTGTATATCAAGCGTTTCACAAAGAACACATTCTTTCTGGAGAAGAATCCGACAATTGTTAATTTCCCCATTAAGTAAGTGATGGAAAATATTGTATGACTAATTTTTTTTAAAAATGATTTTTTGCTCACAGGAACGTGGATTTTGGAGAAATTTTGTCTATGAAGAACCTCGAA